CAAACGTTCCTGCAAAATCAGTAGTTCAAAATTTAGTCCCGTTGTAACCATTATAAAGGGCTGGTGTAACCATTTCTTTGAAAACGCGACTTTTTTACCTTCAAACGATCATAACTTCCTTAAAAGTCATTCATTTAGGAAGCTGAACGCGATATAACACACTCCAGGATTCAAGCTTTCTAACGAGTACCCAAGCGTTCCTGAAAAATCAGTAGTTCAAAATTTAGTCCCGTTGTAACCCTCAAATTTGAGGGGTATTTTTTGAGCCACTTTCTCGAAAGCGCGAGTTTTCTTAAGTTCCACTGCCCGTAACATCTCGCAAGACCAATTTCATGTTTAATTTAGGATGTGCTAGAATGCTCCGAGCATGCGCTTGCACTACATCCCTTCCCTTGGTGCGCGCCACGCCTCGGGCGCCCTTCTAATTCGCTGATTCATTTGAAAGCTCATTCAGAGGGAAGCGTGGTTTACAGATGCGCTATTCAGATCTGCGCAAAAACGTATCGTCGGCTATCATATAGTCTCTAAAGGCATTAGTTTCATATGTGGTCTCGTGGCTGTCACAATGCGAGTACTTTTTTCAGGATGCTGCAATCTTCCACTTCATGACTGCGTCCTTGCAGGGAGAAGGCTTTGCATAATTGCTATAACTATTCACAAACACTTTCTTTGCTGCGTTTGCTCTTCTCCTTCGTACCACTATCCATACTCAGTAGGACATCACCAAGAATTTTCAGTGCCGGCCACCAAAAAATTACGACCCCCCCTCCAAGCTCAATTCAGTACGACCCCCCCGTTGTGACTCGTCACAACGTAGGGTTGACCCTGCTGGGGTGTGCCGACTTTGCGTGAATGATGATATTTTTGGAGCTTCCTTTCTATACCATTTCACATTGTACATCCCATTAGATACTCGTATCTGAGTATTCAGATAAGGCAGCCAGCCTTCTCGTGGGACCTCCCGTGTCAGCTTGATGTACTGCGATTGACTGTTAAGTATGTTAAACAACTCATCCATTTGATTGAGTTATTAATAACACAGCAGTATCGATACTAATCGCCGGGCAGGACTAAGGTTGTGTGTGAAGCCAGGTGAGTGACAAGTTGATTCAATCTATTGCACTTTTAGTCACTTGTTAGTCAGTAATGAGCGTTAAGTAGATAAGTTCATTGAGAATCTTCGAAATCTTTTTCAGGCCTTTACGACAGCTGTCGAAACTGCACAATAAACGCTTCACTATAAAAAACCTGTTTGGCACAAAAAAACTTTCAATTATCCATGTTCTCTTACGCAAAACTTCAGTTTCACATTTTAATTCATAAGGCTAGAGCGAGTACGCCCCCTCCCACCTGCAACACCTACAAACTCACAAAATACGTACTCCTCCCGTTGGTATTTCCATATAAATTGCCTGACTACCACTTTATGCCTATGTGATCGTACAGAAGCGCTTCATGTGCACAAATGGAAACCATAGCTCTACACTACTACCAATTTCTCAAAAGCTAATGTAAGCACCATGAGTAACTTAATCTAAAGCAAGTCATAGTCGGATATTACTTGTATCTCCCGGAAAATATATTTTAAATCTCACCCTCAATAAATACTTGTGCATATGGATCAACTGTTCCTTAAATTGCTCTAATCAATTTAATGAGTGGTGGTGGTGTCCGTTCCTCCAAGTGGTGCCACTGGAAACTGCTCACTTTTGTGAGCTGAGCCGACCACGGACATTCGAATGCAGGCGACAGGCCCCCGTGACAGGCCGGCCTACGAACACCCACGTCACATCACAAATGTCATGTCGCTATATGATCTCGAGATAATGCTACGGCGTCCGCGGGAGCCGACGCGCACTCGCAAAGCCCGGCGAGTGTGAAAAGTATGCGAGGGTCTCCGGTGCAAGGACGGCATCGGGGGGCAACTAGGCTAGTCCAAAAGTCCCGCAACGTATGGAAGACTCGCGTTGCAACATTAAATGTTGGCACATTGACGGGCCGCTCGTGCGAGTTGGTAGAAGCACTGGAGCGCCGAAGAATTGATTTCTGTGCCGTGCAGGAAACGAGGTGGTCCTGCTGCAAGTCGAGGGACATTGGCCGCGGCTTCAAAGCCGTTCTCTGTGGCAGTCCCAGGACACCAAGCGGCGTCGGTGTGGTTGTCTCTGAACGTTTCCGCGATTCGATTGCGAATGTCGAACGTTACGATGACCGCTTGATGAAGATCGTTGTCGCTATGGAGCAGCGTCAATACCACATCTTTTCTGCGTACGCTCCACAGACTGGCTGCTCCGAACGAGCCAAGGACGAGTTCTGGGCCCTGCTAGATGAGAAAACAGCTGAGGTACCATCGGAGGACGCTATCATTGTCGCAGGTGACCTTAATGGACACGTTGGCGCTGCGAAAGATGGTTACAGCTGTCATGGTGGTTTTGGTTATGGGTCACGTAACGCCGATGGCGAGCGAATTCTTGAGTATGCAACTCGCACAATCTCACCATCGTGAACACAAACTATCGAAACGTGACTCACACCTCATCACGTTCTACAGCGGTAATACCAGAACGCAAATTGATTTCGTCCTCGTCAGGCAACGTGATCGAGGGCTAGTGACGGACGCGAAGACAGTGCCGTACGAGACAGTCGCACGCAACATCGACCACTGATTTGCACATTAAAGATTGCCCCTCCAAGGACCAAGAAAGCCGAACGGTGTGGGCCTGCAAGGATCAAGTGGTGGCGATTGAAAGAAAAGGAATCCGCTCTGTTCAGTCGCATTCGGCTACCGCCAGTAACGACTGTCGACGAAACATGGAAACGTGCCACAGAAGCGATAGTCCGTGTTGCTCGCTCCGAGCTTGGCATTACGAAGCCTGGACGGCGGAAAATCGACAAGCAGACATGGCTGTGGACCGACACTGTCAGAGAAAAAGTACGGGAGAAGAAAAGGCTCTACCAAGTGTTTCTCGGTGACAAGTCAAGCGATAACTGGAACAACTATCAGAGCGCGAAGAAGGCAGCAAAGAAAGCTGTGGCTGTTGCTAGAGCAGTTCATCTCGATGGCGTTAGCGAGAAGCTCGAGACGCGCGACGGCGAACGCTATATTTACAAACTAGCCAAGGCTCGCCATCGCCAGACCGAAGATATCGAGAAGTTCTTTGGCATCAATGACGAGAATGGCGACTCGTAATGGACCGCAAGAGGGCTGTGAAGCGATGGCACGACTACTTCGAGAAAATCTCGACAGTAGAATTCTCACACCCGCCAATCCCTTCTGCTCCTCCGGTCCACGGCCCTGTCTCGAAGATAACTGTGAGCGAAACAGAGGCGGCTTTGAAGAAGATGAAGACAGGTAAAGCAACGGGTCCCGACGACTTGGCGGCCGATCTGTGGAAGTCACAGTGCTGGAATCCTGCAGAGTGGTTGACGAAGTTCTTCAACCAAGTCGTTGCAGAAAGAAAGTGCCTGAGAGTTGGCAACAGAGCACGACGATTCCCGATCTGGAAGAAAAAGGGCAGTCCTGCAGACTGCACGAGCTACCGTCCAATTCGTCTGCTCTCCCACAGCATGAAGATATTGAGCGAATTGTAGATCGCCGTATTCGTGACATCGTCCAGCTTACCACCAACCAGTGTGGCTTGTGCTGGCTGCAGCACCATCGATGCCATACACGCCGCTCGCCTTCTGCTAGAAAAACATCGCGAAGAAACAAAAGCCGGTGCATTTTGCCTTTCTAGACTTGGAAAAGGCTTTTGATCGCGTTCCACGTGAAGTAATATGGTACGCCTTACGACAACATGGCGTCCCCGAAGAGCTTATTGAGTGGGTTCGCATGCTCTACTCAAGCCCAAAGAGCCGAGTGCAAACGTCAGCTGGCGTTTCGATGGAATTCCCATCTCTGTTGGGGTACATCAAGGGCTCTGCGCTATCCCCACTTCTTTTTGTTGTCGTCATGGATGCCACGAGATCTTCAGAAACCGGCTCCATGGACGCTTCTCTATGCTGATGACGTGATGCTCGCCTGCGAAGACAAAAACGTACTCGAGCAACAAGTGCAAGCTTGGTCCGATCGCCTAGCGATGTTCGGACTCAGGTTGAACGTTAAAAGACTGAGTACTTGACAACCGACACGAGCGAGTGCGGTTCTATCAAAATAAATGGAACTAGAGCTGACACGTACAACGACATTCAAGTACCTTGGATCAGCAATTGCGTCTGATGGCAGTATGAGTACTGAGGTGAACTCGCGTGTGAGTGCGGCTTGGTCCAAGTGGCGTTCTATGACGGGAGTTCTCTGTGACAAGAAAATCGCCTAAAATCGAAGATCTATAGGACAGTCATAAGACCAGTGGCATTGTACGGCGCTGAGTGCTGGCCAGCGACCAGGGACACTGAAACTCGCCTCGGTGTAATGGAGACGAAGATGCTGCGCTGGACGGCTGGTGTCACGCGATTAGATCGCATTCGGAACGATGTCATACGAGAACGCTTTGGTGTAGCTCCCATTGCTGATAAAATGCGCGAAGCTCGGCTTCGATGGTATGGCCACGTTCTTCGCGGAAATGATGACAGTGTTCGTAAGATCGGCCTCAACATAGACGTGCACGGAAAGCGGCCTAAGGGGCGCCCGAAACAGCGCTGGCTCGATACGTTGCACGCAGACTTGAAGTTGGTTAACATCCACCCCGACCAAGCATTTAATCGGGAAAAGTGGCGTCAGCACATCAGAAAAGCGGACCCCGCCAACAAGCGGGACAAACGCTGAAGAAGAAGAAGAAGAAGTTGCAACATAAGCAATCCAGTGATGACAGATGGGAGCAGAGTCAACCCTATGTTGCAACATGTACCAACGTGGGAGTTGTATTTGGTTGAGCTTGGAGGGGGTCATATTCTCTCGGAGGCCGGCAGTGGGATTCTCGGTGGACATGGATTCCAACCACACCACATATGAAACTGAAGTGTAGCGTGAGTAGTTGAGCGTGGTGGTGTCAACGTAAACTGACCTGGTGCGCCATTCCATCACAATGCAGGAATTGCGATCACACCAATGGCAACAGAACTTTCATTACGTGTGATACTAACAGATGGAGGGCAACCCGAAGCCAACTTCTTTCATGTTCAGCTGACAACCAACAGAATTTATAAACTATAAGAATTGTACATGCACAGAGCTTGCCGGAAATTGTGAGAATTATTTATTGCAATACCGTCCAGATGACCAGTGCGAATCTAGCCAAGTGTCACTAAATATATCGGTATTCCAGTGTAGTGACGGTGGCATAGATTCGGTTGTAGGTTATGACTGGGACAATGTTGGACGTTGAAGTAAGAATCGTGTTCCTTGTCATCTTTTGAGCAGAGCCTGGCGAATATTCGTGATTAATCTCATGTCTATTGAAGCATTCTGGGTTTCTGTTTTTTGGGCACGAACCTGTATCCAGTGAGGCGTTGATCGGGATGAGTTTTGATTTCAACTCCAGCATAAAGGCATCCATCGGTGGCAACGCCTTTGGGAAAACTAACAAACTTCACTTGGACTTTCTTACCAGCAGGCGCCTGAGCAGTAACAACTTTCAGCAATGGCATCTGTGCTTTCTATGCAGGAATAGCGCACCTTGATCCAATAGTTACATTTCATGAAATCCTCTCGTGGTGTGACGCCGGCTTGTCGATCACCGAGGTCATCTTTCAGCGTTTGCCATTTATTCGGTTGCAACCAGCTCCGCTCCGCATCCATCTGGCTAAATCGAGTTTTTGAAGATTTTAAACGAATTGTAATATATTGAATAATACGGTTCCATACACTAGACTCGATAATTACTGTGAGGCTAAAATCACTGGTACTGTTCACACAAGACAGGAGAGAAACAATCATTATAAAAATCCAGTATGGTAGGATTTGATTCACAGACCATGAGTGTGAATACAACTTTGACATCACTTCACATCTTAATATTGAAAATTATAATCTACGTAACAGAATGACCCACTCTTCTGTCACACAGCGGGCCACCATATCCGCTAGGACAGATGCATTTCTTGCAGTCACGTGGATGAGGGAATCCATAATTCTTACACATCGACGGTCCCTTGCACATATCTAGAAGCCCTTTTTTACGAGCCGCTCGGCTACATGGAATCCGAACGACCCACCTGTGCACTTATAATGTTTGTTGATCATAAGCAGATCGTAGAAGCCAATGAACGGCGAGCCGAGTGTTTCCATGTACTGAATGTCCTTTGGTATCATAGTCGGCTTCTTGTTCATGGAGGAACTGCAAAAAAGTGAGCTATCGTTCCATATGATGCTGTTTCCACCACTATTCTACCATGTGGCTCCGTAGTGCATTAGACTACCATAGTCATAGGTCAGGCCATAATTGTCATTCCTTTCGATCGTCTGAACCGCAAACTGGTCGAGCCAGTCAGACTAAAATTGCAGGCGTTCTGAGAGTCTTCATAGGACTGGCAACACGAAAGGCAAGATTATTACTTCGATATTATTTGTGTCGATCGTTATAAATTGGTCTCGGTCATGCCTTGAATGTGTATGGAAGAATCCAATAGCATGGCCAAGTTCGTGGGCAGCGGTTCCAATCTGAAACGGCGAAAATGGCAGGCATCAACTCACAGCCCCAGTTCAATCGAAAGTGTCCCAAACGCCTTTTCTTATTCTTTCGAAATGTTGCACTAATTGCAGAAATTCGCTTCTCTTCTCGTGTCATCTATGATACATCACCAGCTTGATATATAGCAATTAGCAAATCTTCCAAAGTTCGAATTTTTGCGGAACTTAGTCCTAAGAATGCACTTTTCGTTCCGAATATTTCGTATTTAGTGGGAGACGTCACTGAGTGTCAGGGTTTTTAGCCCTCACCGTTTCACAGCCTTTGCCAAGTGAAAGGTTCTGTATGCCTCCGAGTCTGCCGACAAACGACCAACATCCGTCCTCCATGTACACACGAATGCTATCCTCTGCTGAAAGCCATCAATCGTCGCCTGTCGCATCTTCTTTCCCATTCATACATGTTTCCCCTTACCGGATTCGTCTTCTTTGAAATCGATGCAAGTGTCAGCCATCCATTGGGCTGCCGCTTTCTTGAAGACACTTTTTCACTTGTGGACCTAAAAAAGGACTAGTTTTGCTCGCTCTTTATCGTATGACCCAAAACATATAAGAAAACTGACTGGCACTTGAATCGAAGAAGTATTTGACACCTTCATGCCATCTCATACCAGGGTACTTTGGGTCTCGAAGAGCTTGCCTCCTAGCGCGGGTACCGTCGTTGGTGATATCTTCGATAATTTGGTCTTCTTGTTCCCTGAACATGACCTATATCTCTAAAGCCGTAGCAAAAGTCGACAATGTGCTCTGCATTAATCAGTGTCCTTTTTCAGCAAACTTGTATTTTTGTAAGACCGTCGAAGGTATCAAATATCTTGAACTCCTTGGAAATCTTGAGCTCCACAACATTTTATGAACCATCTGTGTGATGGGGCCTGGCAAGTTTAGCTGTTATAGCCGGCCTCCTTAGGCATTCGACAATTGTACTTCGTATATGTGTACCTGTTTTAGTACGAAGAGGTAGATAAGATCGCAAGAAAAACCAACTTCGTAAGAGAACCATATCTCCTTGAAATAGAGCGCCGGCAATATGGTTCTGTAGGTTCACTTCTTCAATCGAGTCTCCCATTGGTTGCACTTTATCAGTAGACCTTCTTTTGACCAACTAAAATATCCACAAAATTATCAGCTACAAACGACAAACTTTTTGAAAATGCGAACCTTCAGTCTTTCTAAAAGCTCCGCTCTTTGCTCCTTGGTCAAGGTGAGCTTCTTCAATATCTTATCTTTGAAGCCACTGAGCCTTTTTTTGAAAGCAGCCATCTTATTGTTGAGGACCTGCAGAGCAGAAGTTCGTGGATAACGGTGCAGTTGTGTATTATGAGCAAGCGATTCTCATTTTACCTCTTTAATGCGGTGTGCAGTATTTTTAATCTTGTCGACCACTCTTTCCTTGATAAGACCTTTGATACTTTCAGCAGAATTTTTCAGGTCGACTAGACCGGCGCTCACGCAAACCGTGAAAAGAAGACTGAGGAGAACGAGTGCTCTCATCCTGAAATGTGAACTGAAAGATCCGGAACGAACATGAGCGTTTCCAAGAAGAAAGCGAACAGTAAGCTGGGGATGCCTCCCCCCTTCATCGTATTTATACTGCAAGGACTCTGTTGAGGTCGATACGTGTCATTAGATATTTGGACAATTCGCTGTGATTCCAGCTGTTCTTCCGTGCCTCATTACCTCATTAACTGACAGTGGAACGTTGCTCATGTATACTGTGGCGAAAAATTACGTGCACATAACGTTTTGCTCCGCTGGAACATTGAACGAGGATTTTATGCAAACATTTCCTCTTCAGAGCACTTGTTTAAGGATATTCATTGGTTTGTAGAAGAAAACGTTTGTCCGCGTTTGAGGAAGGACGCGCTCAAGTTGCAACGTGACTGAGCGCTGGATTAAGAGCGTAACAAGTTTTCGATTCTCCTTCAAATTGAAAAAATAAATAAACGCGAGATCTATTGAGAAGAAGTCCTAGGAATGCAATGGCGCTCAGGAAGCAGAGTCTAAGCAGTTTTATCATCTTCAGGAATGTGCTTCAGCCCATGACCCACTGCAACCATCCACTTCTTCATCATCAAAATCGCCTCTTTTTCACGATAGAAAGTGGCCTTTTAACTCCATGTTCAAATGCTTTAGTGCTTAGGACCTCATCAAAGAGCTACCTATAAATCAAAAAGCAAAAAGTTGGTGATTTTGGAAAGAACCGTCCTAAGTTCGCAATAAACTATACGCTGATCACCTCCACCACACCATCGACTCGACAAGGCCTTCATTCTTTACAGTCATGTAGGAGTAATGGGACCATGCCGGAGTTCTTTGACGTCTCAAGGGATCGGTTTAGGAACCGCTCTAAAGGACACGGCAAAGTCTTTAATGAGAGTCACCTGAGAGCATGGTTTATTTTTTCAGCAAAATTTTGCTTGCTTCCTAACTGCATATGAGGCACGGAAGAACAGCTGGAATCACAGCGAATTGTCCAAATATCTAATGACACGTATCGACCTCAACAGAGTCCTTGCAGTATAAATACGATGAGGGGGAGGCATCCCCAGCTTACTGTTCGCTTTCTTCTTGGAAACGCTCATGTTCGTTCCGGATCTTTCAGTTCACATTTCAGGATGAGAGCACTCGTTCTCCTCAGTCTTCTTTTCACGGTTTGCGTGAGCGCCGGTCTAGTCGACCTGAAAAATTCTGCTGAAAGTATCAAAGGTCTTATCAAGGAAAGGGTGGTCGAAAAGATTAAAAATACT